AGAACCTCGACCAGTTCATCCTACTTCATAGAATTCCTCTCTTTGCCATCACTTTCTCTGACTAAGGTACTCCATTCTTGTTATTCTTCCTCTAAACCCTTCTCATTAAAATCTCCATTGTCAGAAAACTCTAACTCCTGAACAAGAGCAAAATTTTAAGGTTGAATTGTGGCTGAGAATAACTCAATTTTAAAAAAAGAAAGATGAGGTGAAAACACCTCAGAAGAGGAAAAGATCTCGACAAGAATTGATAGGGTGAAATGGAAGTGACAATGGGAGCATTGATAGAAGAAAGAGTAGAAGTAGAAAAAAATTGATGTTATCGAACCCCAGAAGGGAGAATAGTCAAAAATAAAAGAAGGTCGACCATAAAAGATGGATCAACCTGAGAAACAAAAAAAGGTGATAGATTTTGTTGGTCTAAGTCTATCTGAGCATACAACTATTTTATGCTCAAGATCGTTCTCCTCTTGCTTGAGCATTTTTTTCATTACATCATTACCTTTCCTTGGACATTAGGTTGAACCAATAGGTTATCCTCTCATAATTATAACCTCTGATGATTGGTGGAATCAAATCATTGTTGTCTTACTTACATTGACCTCCCTTAGGTTCTACTCTATAACTCCCAACCTCTTCAAAACTGACGCTAAAAGAGATAGTTAATAATATGTACCAAAAAAAGTGTAAAAAAATTTTAAGGCCAAAAAGCTTTTAAGGTCAAAAAATTTAGATTGGATTGAGAACACAGAAAGTAGAAAGGTGAAAAACTAAAGCCCCAACACCCCTTTATATAGCCACATAACAGATCAAAAAAAATAGCTCAGATCATGCCACATGTTAAAATAAAAATGAGCTAACGTCTCTTCGTCTTTTTTGTCCAAATTTTTTTGCTCAAATTACCTCTCTCCTTAGTTAATGTCGTCAGACTGACCAAATCGGAATGAATTATAGATCAGATCGACCAGACTATACAACTCCTCAAACTAGCTGAACACCCAACTCGTTGCTAGAGTTCAAAGTAAAAACCCAAATTCAAATTCTTGAAATAAAATACAAGCTCACATTAACCAAACGAACTCCATTACCAACCTCGATAATTTTGAACAATTAACAACTTGACGACCTTTAAGTCGACCATACATTTAACACATGACGTACACATAAGATCAAATGCTTACCAAATTAGACCACTCCTTTAAGCTATTTATCTTCCGATATCGATCTTTCCTATGACGTCGACTCTAAAGAATCATGTTTCATGTCATCTTTCTCTACCTACTTGACCTACATGGAATGCACTGATCATATGAGTAGTCTAATACTCAAACTACTTGATAAGGGCATAGAATATTAGAGGCATTTAGTGGTCAAAAGGGCATGATAGTCTTTTTTCATGTTAAAAGCCTTTAACAGATAACCTAAGGTAATTTTGACATTTACACTGACCTGACATGTCATGTCGATCTAACATTCTTAGTGACATGTCAGCTCAGCAATGTCCTTATTGTCCCCTAATGGTCCCCTATCACCTATTTATAAATATGAAAGTCTAGGCACCATGAAGGAAACAAACACTATTCTATCTTCTCCCTATTACTCTCTTTTGATCTCATCCTTTTTGACTTATGCGTCCGAGTGTAAACGTAAAAAACACTTCTTACTTTTATCTTTAATCACTATTTTCTTTTGTCTTTTCAAAAATATCCTAAGACTGGAACTCAACACAAATAAAAGGCTAATTTTTTTTTAATATTTAAATTATAAACCAAAATGGGTATTACACATAAACCAGGATTCAAAAATGAATTAAAAAAAAAAACCAATGTGTAACCTTTCTTTTCATGCTGAATTAAAAAAAAAAAAACCAATGTGTAACCTTTCTTTTCGTGCTAAAGTCAACAAGGGCATGTGCTAATCAATATTTAATTCAAAGACATGCCATCAAAATGCAATACATGCAATAAATTTTGAGATCAAAATCAAACAAAAAAGTAAGGGTGTTCATAATTTGATTTAATTAAATTAAATATTAAATCGATTTAATTTGATTAATTAGTGGGTTATCGAATTAATTTTAATTGATTAATAAAAATGAATTTGCAAAAAATTCTGTTTTTGGTTAATTTGGTTCGAAAATCAAATTAACTAAAATTTTAATCGAAATATAAAAAATTGTAAATATAAAATGAAAAATACATGAAATAAATTATTTTATTTCATAAATTATTAGAGTTTTTAACATAATACTTTGATATTTGAATATTTTGTTAAATAATTTTATTTCGTTTAATTAAAATATGAGAAATTAAAAATTAAAAATATAATTTAACTTAAATATATTTATTATTCAGTTAAATTACAAAATTAACTGAACTAACCAAATTAAAATCGGTAAATTAATTTTTAAAATTAATAAGTTTGATTAAGTTAACAAAAATTTTTAAAATATATTTAGTTAATTTAATTTTAAATAGTTCAAGTTAAATTAATTGAATCCACCGAATAAACAACCTTACCAAAAAGTATATCAAAGCAACAAATATAGCACAAATAAAAAAAGTTGTTTTTCTGCTTTTTGTTCTTTGTTCATCTTATTTTGGTTCTATTGTTTAGAATGGAGCACAGGAAAGTTCAAGGAAGCAGCAGGGTCCAACTTCCAAGAAGGGGAGGAAGGCTTCTTGACAAGAGTTGGGTCTACAGCATTGACTCGAGGCAAAGTGACTAGAAATTGTTGTATATGGTCACCATTTTTCTAGTAGAGATCAAAGTGAAATGCTAGAAATGAAAATGAATCCAGTATTAAGACTAACCCTTGGGCATCAAATTTCCAATAATAATATCAAACTTGTCCAAACGAGTAGAACCTTGACTAAAACATTTTGACCCCACTGGCCGTTTGACCTCAAGGGGCAAGGGCTTCGATTTTCGTTCAGACTGACCATTCCATAACGAAAATTGAAGTTTCTCCACTATGGATGTATGAATTCAAAGCCAGGAGTTTGAAGAATGTGGCTATGGTAAAGAAACTTTGATCCTCCAGTAGAACTTAAGTTATAGATCATATATAGAAATAGGTGATGGATTTCAAAAACACATGCTTCTTCATAAAACTCTTTATCAAACACTCGCCATGTATGATAATGTTAAAGCAATCACGTTCTTGATTTTTCCACCATAATTAATTAATTAATCGATAGATGTTGAAGAGAATTAAGGATAAGATGAAGTAATTTGGTTGATTTCAAATTTTGTCATCTCCAAGTCGAGAGAAAGATAATGAATACATGAATATTTTATAAATTTTGGGCTCCTTTGTGAAGCCATAATTCACGACTTGACTGTTGAAAGTTGCCTTTGATTTGTTTTTAACGTTTTTTCTGGTAGATTTTCTAGATTAGACAGCCATTATCATCCCTAACTCTTAACATAAAAAAGAGGGCTACTTCACTATGAATGGTAACATATGAATTGAAACTAATGCGACGGGTGTCAATTACCAAAAACGACTCGACCACTTAGTCTCGCGGGACTTCTAAGACAAGGCCGAAGATAGATGTGAATGTCATATAAGTCTTTCCATTTGAAGTGAGTTTTACGTTTGATCAAAAGGGTGAAGTCCGAGTTAGCAGCACATCAATATATAAACAAGAAAAAAAATGTTACTATAAGTTATTCATTACATAAGCCTGCTTATTGATCATATATTTTGTCTAGAATAAACAGAAAAGATAAAATCCAATTACTTTCCTGCAGGCAACAACCCTTTATTCTATTTCCTTTAAAGTATAATCTTTGCTTGAAACTTGGGAGATCTAGAGGCGAACGGCAGTATATACCATTAATTAACGTGTACATAAACCTGATTTCGAATACTCTCTAAAGACCAGCACAAGAAAATTATCCTAAAAATGAAATTTAGATAGGGAAAGAAGAGTGAGAGGGTCTCATGCAACAGCTATATGTGGTCACCGTCAGATGTAGACGTTTTCTTTAACTTTAAATTGGCTTAACCAATGCAACTTTCGTGACCACTGACCAGTCAGAAGCTAATACTCACAAATTTCGTTGACTGCGTTCCCTCATGTTCATGAACATTTCACCCTAACAATGAAGCAAAAACTTATATAAACAGTAAAACTAAGGCTCCACTGCCAAAGAATAAAATATTATAGTATATTGGAAATAGTACAAACCACGTAACTTCATAATTCTACTAGTTTAACTTTTAGTATCTGTTACATTAGACACTTCCTATTTCCACCATAACTTAACATAGCCTGGTAAATATCTATTATAACTTACAAGAGTTATTGTCTCCATTTCCCTTTATAAAAAACAACTTTTTCCCACCCTCATTTTGAGTAAATTCGAGGCAGCATTGATATGCTTGGACTAAATTAAGGTTAATAACTGTTAGCCAGCGATGTTGTAGAAGAAAAGATCACTATTTATTTCTTGAAAGCTAGAGCCATTGAAAAGGTATTGAGGGTCCTGAAAATCAAGATCCATTAAGATTCCTTGATCTTCAGCACCTCCAATGCTAGACCAAGCAGTATAACTGTTCTCCAAAAGAAAGGAAGATGAATTGGAAAGACTTGAAACTTCTTGAGAAGATGACATACTGTAATTGTTATTGGCAGTACTCGAGCTATATTCCATAAGCCCTGGCAGTGGAAACTGATCAATTGGGTCCAAAACTAGCCCTGGATAATCATAATTTTGCTGGAATTTCATGTCTGTCATATAAGAAGATGATGCACTGCCATTTGCATTCAAGTAATAATCTGAATTCTCATTAGCATTAGCTTCAGCTTCAGCAGGAATTGAGGCAGAAAATTGACCTGAGATGATGCTGTCAGTAACTGTTATTTCATTCTTGCTGTTTTTGTCGATTCCTATCTTTCCTGCCAATAATCTTTTCTTCAACTTAGTGTTCCAATAATTCTTCACATCATTGTCAGTTCTTCCTGGCAGTCGGGCAGCTATGACAGACCACCTTAACCGAGAACATATAGTATTAAGTTATTCAGATATAACCAAAACCATAAAAAAAAGGGAAAAAAAAAAGTAACTAAACATTTAAGTGTTGAATTGACTTGCCTACTTCCTATGCTACTATAGAGGGAACATATAATGTTGTCTTCCTCCTCGGTAAAGCCTCCATGCTTGATGTCTGGCCTGAGGTAGTTAAGCCACCTTAACCGACAACTCTTGCCGCAGCGTTTGAGGCCTAAAATATAGTAGAAATTAATTATCAACAAACAGCAAGAAAATACATACATATATACATCCTGCCAAGCTTTGAAGAAGTATGGCATGAAATTAAAGAATGTTTCAGGAACAATAATCATCGCTTGTTTTCAACGAAAATCATCATTGGCGTTAACCCCAAGGTCTAAGAAAGAAGTACAGATGAGGAGAAGACAGAGGAAAGAGACCTGCTTTGCGGGGAAGGGCAATCCAATTGCCTCCAGTCCCATGTTTCTCAAGGTAGTTTCTGAGAGTGTTATCTTCATCAGGTGACCATGGCCCTCTTTTCACGTTGGCTTTGTCACAGCATGGAGCTCTTCCCATTGAAACCACTTAGCGATCACACAAATTCAAGCAAAGCACAAAGAGAAATTGAGAGACAGAGAGAGGGAGAGACAGCGCTAAAAAAATGCTAGAGCCACCGATTGCTTGGTATGGGACATGACGTGGTCTTAAAGCTTGATAAAAACTTTAGGAAACTCGACTTTTCCTACTCTTTCATATAAAAAAACCAATAGGTTTATTTCTTCAAATTTTTTGGTATAGTGCATTTTTGTCGTGGGTTTCTTTGTTGGAGAGCCAAGTCAACGCGAGTGCTTGAGAGTTGAAAAGCACGGAAATTTCATGCTCCTGCTGTCATCTGATCTGGCAAACTCATTTGGCAGTTTTTTTTTTTCTTACATATGCAGAGACGAAACAGAGGTGAAGTACTTTTACCTTTGATTAAATTTTACGCGGTTTCTGCTTGTCTCATTGGCCATTTTTTTTGTGAAAATAAAAAATGCTTTGCTTCGGCCTTAGTAAAACATTAATTAGTGGTGTCCATTTTGGGTTGCCATGATTGATTAAAAAAATTAGCATGTGATGGACTGTTTCAACTTAGCTTGTTATCATTCAACGTGTCTTGCGAGAATGATTTATGAAAGTTAAAGAATACAATTCAGCATAGCATATGATTCATAATTCTAATAAATTTTATTGTGTCTAGTATAATATCATTTTTTGTATAGCATGCTTCATTAATAATTTTTTATATTTTTTATAAAATTTAATTTTTTTATTTTTTCATATGCCACGTATTAACATTAATCCTTATGGTTCATACCATATTAATTCATTTGACTCAAAATTTTTAATATAATATAACACAAATATATAAACCATTCTTGGCACAACCTACGACCATCAGAGTAAGTCGTGTCAAATACGATCAAAATCTTACCTTACCGTGTCCTGTCTGACACCCAGCCCATGTACTACCTTTAACATTAATTGTCCCTTAATTAATGAATTCAATATTTTGCAAAGAGTGAACGCAGTATCACAGCAATGATTGAAATTAAAAAAAAAAAAAAAAGAAATGATGCTCCAATAGTTTATTTGATTTCTATGTTCATTTATGAGAAATAGTATTTAGTAAATTTAAATTTTATTTATCGTCCTTTTATTAATCATAAGATTAAGATTTTTAAAAAAATAATTGAACCACAATACAGTTCGGCCTAAATAATTGGTCCGTTGTCTTAACTCATAGATGCTTTGAATATATTATTATTATTCCAAAATTGGCCCAGTAGATAGTAAAATAAAAAAATCTTCAACCTCGCTAAGAAAAAGAAATGTCTTGGACCAATAGCCTTCCAACCCATTTTCTGGACATAATGGGCTCTGCCCAAAGTACTTAGGTCTAGGATGTCAAAATTAGTAAAAAGATCAGAAAGCTTCTTCAACTAAGAGATTGGGGTTTGGAGACTGGGAAATAAAAATGAATTGAGATGAGTTCCAAAAATCACTTGAAATGAGAAACATTAGGATGCATTTTGCTGCATCTATATTCCAACTAGCTAGCCTGTGAAATCTCCTTCGCGACTGGTTACCTGATTCCAGCAAATTCAAGCTCGTTTGCTTATAAAAAGTTCTCCACACCTTTGAGACTTGAGAGTGCCTCATTTTGGAGCTTTTAGCCATGCATTGGATTAGAAGTTTAATGTTGCTAATTATTTCATTTGTTGGTTAGACCAACTTGTTCCTTTTTTCATTAAGCAAGGATGTCAATTTTATTCATATTTAATTAAAATTTTAATTTTTTCTTCAAATGAAAACGAAAATATACATTAAATTTTAAGTATAAGGATAGATATAATTTTAAATTTTTTATCAAATACGATAACAAAAACAGATAAAATAATACCCATCACATCTGTACTTATATCTTATATATATTTTTATATATTTAGTAAATAAATTTTTATTAAATAATAAATTTTTTATTTTAGATTAATTAGAATTAATATATGTTTATTTAAAATATATGTTAATATATATTTATAAAAAATTACATAAATGTGTAAACTATAAAAATAAAAAAGTTAAAAACATAAATTTTTATTTTAATTTTTTAAAAAAAATTACGAGTACAAAGATTATTCATATTTATTAATATATCGATAAAAATAAAAATAAATTTAAAATATTCATTAGATATGTGTATAAAATAAATATAATATAAAAATTTCAAAAATAAAATATGAAAAATATTCTACCCACCTCATAATCTACTCATTGACTTTCTATCAATAACAACATTCTTGTTGCAATATAAATCTTTTTTTGTTTTTTGGATGAAAGAAGTTTTCAATTATGCAAAGGGGACTTACCTTCCTATTCCTTTAAGTAGTTATGGTAATCATTTTTTTTAATAATCTTGTAATTTGTTGATAAAATATTAAATTTTTAGTTAAATAATCATAAATCAATTTCAACAGTCTCAAACATTAAAAAAATAAATAAATTGTTGAATATGTTGATCTCTTTTTTTTTTTTTAAGGTTAAGGATATAATATTTAAATTGATCTTTTGAATATTAAGATTTTAATGGAGACAAGAACTAAGAAAATGACCACATTAATCATAGAACATAATAGAGTATCGTTCTTCTTCATTGTTTTTTTCAGTCTCATTTGCGCCTAACTGCATCACTAGAAATAGCAAAAGATTATGATAAGGAAATCAGTTGAAAAGCAACAATTAATGCTCCTGTTTACATACCTAATTAGTCACATAAAAAAATTCCTAGAAGCTTTCCATTTTTTTTTTAATTTCTTTGATTTAAAATAGTCCAAAAAAACACTACTATTTTATATATATACTTCATCTATTATCATAAAGGAAATCTACCCCAAATCATGCTTTCTCTTAGCTCTTTTTAAATTATATAGTATTATAATGCTAGTTCTAAAAAGTCTAAAGATATACATGGATGTTGGCTCAAGAAATTTTGTTTCTTTTTTAGTTAAGAATGTTAATTTTATCTATATTTTATGAATAGACTTAATATTTTTAAATATGATACGATAATATAATATAAAAATAATATAAATAAAAAATATAAAAATGATATAATTTAAAATTTTAGTAAAAATTATAAATAAATTTAATAAAATAAAAAATATATTTATTTTAAAATTTTATATTAATACGAATTATGATACGTAATTTTCATATAAAATATAATATAAATATATAAATTATTAATAGTTAACATTTTATAAATACATGAATTATTAGATCTACTTATGAGAAATTTAACTTTTTACTTAAATGAAAATAAAGATTAATCACACAAAAAAATTCCTTGAAGCTTTCCATTTTTTTAAAACTTCTTTAATTAAAAATAGTCCAAATAAAAAACACTACTATTATATATATACTTCATATATTATCATAAAGGAAATCTACCCCAAATCATGCTTTACATTAGCTATTTCTAAATTATATAGTATTGTAAAGCTAGTTTTAAAAAAATCGGATGGTGGCACAAGGGATAAAGAGAGTTTTTTTTTTTTTAATTTAAAATATTAATTTTATCCATAATTGATGAGAAATTTAAATTTTTATTTAAATAAAAACAAAGATGATTATTATATTATGAGATAAAGATAAATATAATTTTAAATTTTTTTTAAATGAAGCCGGATAATATAGCACTGCTTTATATTTTGTGTATATTTTTATATATTTAGTAAATAATATTTTATTAAAAATGTAAAATATTATTTTGATTAATTAAAATTAATATATTTTTAATTTAAAAATATATATTAATATATATAATTATATAAATGTACAAAAATTAAAAATAAAAATAAATTTTTATTGTTTTTTTTAATTTATAAAATGATAATTATTTATTCTTATTAAATATTAATTGAGTATATAAAAATCAAGAGATAAAAATAAAAAAATATTTTATTCATTTCATATTATACCCATTATTTTTTTTATTTTTAATTATTCAAATTCAATCGATTAAAAATTATGAAATTATAAATTCTGCTAAATTTGTAATTAAACTCAATATCAGTACACATGCTTTGACCGATAAAAAAAATTTCGAAACTTAAAAATTTCTTATCAATAAAAAATTTAAAAATAGTCCCAAAATTAAAATAAGGTATCAACATCAAGATTGTACAACCCCCAACTTTATTTTTTCACCCTATATATCTAAACTGTTTGTTTTAAAAGCAAAATTTTAAGACTAATTTAAATAAAGCCAAAATCTGTTCGAATAAAACCTAACAGACTACCCTAAATCATGGGATAAGTTTGAATTTCTTTTTTACTTTTGTCTTTTTTTTTTTATTTTCTGTAGCGACAAAGTCAGCTTGATGAAACCATTAACCGATGAAAGCGACTTCCAACTCTTGCACTCCAAATTTTTTTTATCACTTACTTGGGTTGACAGTAACCTTGATTTGCCGGCAAATCACACTACACGAAACCCCCCTTTTTTTTTTTAATTTTATTATTGTATTATTTGTGCCTATGATTTTGGCTTGCTCCTTGACAAAACTATTTTACCACACCCTCTTAGTTCCCTTTTTTTTTTTTTATCTTAATTTTTTAATGTATATTTAATGATTTACATCAGTAAATATGGGCCCATGCCTTATTTAATTTGATTATATTCAATTTGAAGATTTTGATCAATTTTGACCATGGCCATGATTAAGATTTTGCATTGACATTTTAGGAGGATATCCAAGGACTTTAGGCATGATCGAACCGGCCAAAGTCCTCATAGTTACATGTCTTCGCTTTTATTTTCTTATAATGCAATTTGTTTGGATATATATATATATATATGATTTCATATTTAATGTATTTTTAATATTTAATATCATATATTATTAGTAAAACTTTATTATGATACATCATTAAATAATTTAATTTTAAATATATTTATTTTTAAATTTTTAAAATTAATTTTATAATAAAATATTATTATTTGATTTATCTATAATAATATATTAAATATAAACTTTTTATATATTATATACAAATAAATATATCTTCAAATTTTATTGGACTTAATTTTCTTTCTAATTTAAGGGTATATTTTTTATTTTAAAATATTTTTTATAAAAATTGAACTCTAATTAATAAATAAATAATTTCTCTTAAAAAAAATAATCTGACAATTGGGAAAGCATTAAACTTTGAATAGTAAAAAGATTTTTTTTTTTTGACGAGTGAATCATGAATTATTTGAATTGTATTAAATTTGAGATAAAGACAGTATCAATAATGAAGTATGTTGGAGTTGGAGCAAACTAATAATTGTTCCCTTGGGGAGAACTCATTGGATCTTTGTGATTAGTTTGTATCTAGCTAGGGCTAGATTTCTAATAGACAAAGCACATGTGTATTCTTTTAAGCAGGTCTTCGGTTGAACGGACAGCATTATCGGTATTAAAATTGAAGCTGCCAACTAGGGCTTAGCCCTAGAGTTTACAAACGATAATGCCAGATTGCCAGATCGTGTCCTCTTACGATGATCCTTATGTTTTTCAATTTTCAATTCAGTTTTGGATAGATAATAATTTTAGGTTAATTGATAATAAGATTCAATTTTGTTTTAATATAGAATCACATAAAATTTAATATTTAATAGATATAAAACAACATCATAATAAAATTAAAATTTTAATATCATATTAAACATATAATCTAAAATCAATTAACAAAATAAAAAATTTTAATAATATATAAAATTATAATATATTTAACAAAAAATATAGTCAACAAATTCTTCTAAAACTAAGCTGGTAAAACTTGTTTTACTTCTTCGAGAAAAAAAATTACTGCAAGTATAAATTCCATCGTCCATCGCATAGAAAAAAAATGGTGGGAGAGATGGATGCAGAGGGAGAACAAAGGGTGTGATGAATTGCTACCTAATTCACTGAGCAGAACAAAAGTTAAAATGTCATAACCTAATAAGCAATTAGCTTTAACCAAAAAGAAAAAATCTGGAACAGATACAATACAAAGATCTTATCTTGAAAGAGCTGTAGCAATTAATTTAGTTGACAAATTTTCTTCATCCATATCGGAAAAGAAACGCTAAATATAATGGAAGTTTATAGTTTCAAAAGAAAAAGTAGGTTAATAATTTCAAAGTAACGAAATTATTACACTGTAAAACCATCAATGTCTAAATCGAGCTTTGGTTTGTCATTAAGAATGCCCGTCAAAAGGTGCCTATATCTAAAACTATGATTCGGTCTATAGTTTTGCACGTCCAAAATCACCGTAGAATTTTTTGTCAAACGATCGGACGGTTGAGACTCCATGAGAGTACCTCGATCATCTTCGTAACCTAACCAGGACGTACCAATCATCTTTTATCAAAGCTGTTGAATAAGATCCCATTTCATGATGTTGCGTGTTGGAAGGGTTATAAATAAAAAGAACAAGTAAAGTCCACTTGTGCATAAACTCTCAGTGTCCTCTTTTCTGAGATGTTTCTTTCTATACCCAGTAGCCACTCAGTCCCTCCTTGACTTGGAACTGAAATAAAAACAAAAAAGCCTTCTCTTTCAGCGATGGATTACAGTATGTAAAACGAATTGCCAATGCTTTGATTGGTTTTCTTTCCCAGACCCACTTAAGAAAATCCTCCACACTAGCCCAGAAAATCTCCAACCCTTTCTACATTTCACTGCAAAATCCATATTGATGCTGACAAAAATTTTGAGTGTTATGACTTGGTCAAGTTTTACTCCACTTCAAGCATATCATTCACTCTGCAAAGGGTTTTGAGATTAAATACAGTTGAACAGCCGGCTATGGTTTATCATGCTTTTTCCAAAGTCTATGCCTTTTGCATCATTTCACATTAGCAATTCTTAAAATATAAAAGAACTGAAATCCTTCAACAAAATATAAAATGCATTAATCTGCAGGTCCACGAGCATACATAGATCTGAAATTTTACATTGATCATTATTATAATATCAATAATTTATACTATTTACTAGTACTAAAAAACGATCAGCAGCTTGGATAATCATTAATTAATATACTTAATAGGCACAAAATCAACCATTATAATAAAGAAAGGGAATAATCAACTGTCTGCTACCTATACAAAAGCACAAGGTTCTTTCTTTACGAGTTCTGATCTTATGAAGCTCATAGAAAATTCCCCAGAAAGAGATTCTAATCCTCACCAGTCACCACCCCACTTCAATCACTTCGTAGGAAATAATATTTGATATTTACACAGAATCTTCAATTTGGTGCAGCAGCTACTCCAAAATATATTCCAGATGTTGAGAATTTTCAGATTTTCTTTTCCTTTAGATACTATTCACAGTGAGAAGAAAACTCAAAATAGATTCATTTAATCAGAAAATAATGAAGACTCACTTGAGCGAGCTAGCTCACTTCCCCTTCCCCTTCCATATATTTTTTTTTTTCATTTCACCAGGTCCGTAATCCAATCCACATCCAGACCTCCAGAAAACTGACCCGGGTTAACCTCCAAAGAATTCTCTTTACTCAGTTTTTCAAACATCTTTGCACGTAAATCCCTTCCAGACTCGACTCTTTCCATCAAAGGTTCTTCTTCACACCCTTGATCCAAGAAATCCAAGTACCCAATACCAGGACGGGTCAAGTTTCGGGTCGGAGTACTAGGCAGGCTACAGAAACCGGGTCGGATAACTGCCCCTCTGGGAGACCCGAACCCAGAAGGAGTAGAAGGAGAACCACCACCTACTTGCGTGTTCCAAGACGAAGGCAAAGACTTAACTTTACCAAGCTGCAAATTCCTCAAAGAAGCCACCATCTTATTAATAGAAGCCGAACCCAGAGAACGACTCAGAGACTGAGCCATAGGTGAAACAGGCGGTGAAGAATCAGCCCGCGGACTCACCGGAGGAGAACCGGAACCAGAGGAAGACCAAAGAGTCAGTGCTTTTGCACAAGGTGCACCATCATAAGAATCAACAGAGTTCACAACCCTAAGCTGGTCTGGAGTATGAGCAAAGAAACAAACCCGACGCCTACAATCCGGCCCGTCTTTGCATGGCTGTGTCCTGTAACGAGCCGGGTGGAGCCAGCACTCGAAAACCCCATGGGCGAACTCGCAAGCGTCTCCTTTTCGACAGTTTCCTTTCCTGAAATCAGGGCAAGCCGTACCAGAGTAATGATACTTCCTCGGGTCCCTCCGACGAGCTTTTTCACCTGGATGAGCGTACGGACACTCAGTCCAGTCATGTGACCGGCCACGTGCACATCTCCGAACTTTGAACTCAAACATCCTGAAATGATCACACGAGTAAGCATCAACAGGAGAATCCGGGTTGTCAAGACCCGAAAGCTCAGAATCCGACTCCACATCCGGTTCATTCGATGGCAAGTAACATTGCAGCGCTGTTAACGCTTCCTGGAGGAAAAACGGGTTGCTGTTATTGCTGAAGTGGTTGTCGGCCGCATTGTAATTGAGAAGAGAGTAAACCTCAGCCGTTTGATCATCTTCAAGGTTAGGCCAAGGTGGAACGTGGATCGTTGGATTGGGACGATGAGTTTCTCCGAGCATCATTTTTCGCTTGATCTGGTGTGGTTTTTTTTGGCTTGTGAGATTTGTATACAGAAACACCGGCAAGCTTTGGTCGTTTATAAGCAGAATCTGGTAGTGGGAAGTAGGGCTGTTTAACCGTGGTTAGATTTAAAAGTAACCGTAGTTCGTTAAAGATCTAGCCTAAGGAGCTATAATTTTGTATATTCCGCTTTCAACTGCGGTAAAAAACGATCTAGGTGGGAGTAGTATTGGTGTTACGGACTTGTTACTTAAGCAGTTTGAAAGTGATTATGGGATCGCCACGTGGATAACGTGGGTTAACGGTGACAAAGCTGTGAGGTGAAGTAGGCTTTGGAATAATTAATCCTGCTAGGCCCCGTAGCGTTCCAAAGGCGGTGGAGCTTGAGATCTGCTGGATAAAGACGAGAATTTTCTTCTTTTTTTTTTTAACAAGAAAAAAAAAAGGGAAGTACTATTATAGTACAACTAAACGTATTGATAAATCTCCATCTACTTTTATAGTGAGAAAAAAAAAATCTCAATTTTTTATTTGAATAATTGATGAAAAAAAATTTTCATACCGTTATCGTACCATTTAAAAATTGACAACATTGCTCTAAATTTTATATTGAAAACTTGCAAGACTTCGGTATAACATATATATATTTATAAAGATTTAAACTTATGTTTATAAAATACTTATGAAATATATTATGAAACTTTTATGAAGAGTTAAACTCATATTTATAATCAATGTGATATATAAATAAAATTTTTAATTTTAATTATTAAAATTAAAATTTTAATATTTTTAAACATAAATAAAATTTGATATTTATAAATGTAAAAAACTTTAAAATCAAAGTAAATAATTTTTTCACACACATAATGTATATTTTTATAAGATTCAATTTTCTTTTTCTACATCTTACATTTTATTTAATTCCAATTTTTATTTATTTTTACTATTTATATATAATGAGATTGTAGGCATAAAATTGTTGCATTTTAGTGTTTAAAATTTTATTTTAGTTACAATCACGAAAGTTCTCAAATATATATAGGCAGAAGAAAACGATAAAGTATGATACCTTTGCCTCGTCAACTCATTTGTCACTGATGTTTTAACTTTGGACAAATTGTTCCATGTATTTTGATCGTTATGTCATATCAAAGGGTAATGGTTTTGATTTCCTCATATATTTTTCCATTGTCCATTTTGACTATTTTCATCATTTTCTCTTTACGAAATTCGATGTCTCCCATTTTAAAAAAGAACAACCAAAGGGAAATATACTAGCGGAAAGTACCATTTGAATTGCCCCATTTGAAGTTCAAGTAAATGATTGTTACAAGCACATTACATCCATTCCTCATCATCACTCTCAATGTTGTCTTTTTGTATATAGTAAACTATAATTTAATAAATAAAAAATTTATGAATGTTAAAATTAAAATTTATTTTTAAAAATAATTATATAAATTATTAAATTAAATTATCAATTTGTTAGCTCACCCAACAATCATCTTACATGATAATCAATCTTGTTTGTTTTTTATTTAATTTTGTTGTTCTCATTGTTTGAGTTCATTTTGGTTTATTAAATTAAGATAGTTTTTGACTAACATGCATGTATTTCAATCTATTTTTTAATATAAAAAGCCATAGTTTAGAATAAAAGAAGAAATTTAAAATTTAATGAATATTCATTAAATGTTATTTTTTAACTGCAAACCCTAGCTTCTAAAAGAAGAAGAAGAGCCAATTCTTTAGCCTTTGTTCTTTGTCCAATTCTTGGAATAACCGAAGAGGAGCTTTAGTGCTTTACCAACAAAACTTTTGCATTTCTTTTTTCCATTGTTAGGGCAATTTGTTGAAGTCACCCCTGATTCCTTCTTGGGAAGGGCTGCCAACGGGAGGGCAGGTAGGTTCCCTTTCGGTACGTCGGACACCAAAGGCTTCACCTGATCTCTCTCGTCTAGAGGAATAACTATTCATTTTTGTCGATTCATAACAAAATTATTAATCAAAGGACGGAGTAATAGGAGACTCAAATTTAGGTGTACATGTGGAGGCAACATGGGGCTTGAAATGAATAGAAGCCATTAATCAACGACAAATCATCAAAGGCAGTCTGCCGACTGCTAAACAGGTTATAAACAAAATAAATAATTTTCTGACGTCCACCAGAAAGAAAGAAAAAAAAAAACCTTTTCCTTCCGAACACCTGGCAAATTCTGGATTCGTCCACCACACTAATCTCGCCATGAATTTAGCCGTCCATTTTTTTTTTATTAATGTCCTTAAATTATATTAAAATATTAATAAAATATTAATTAATATGAAATTGACCCATTTTTAATTAATTTTAAATAACAATATATGATTAATAAATACTTTGTTAATACTTCATTAATTAATAAATATCATATTAAAAATTTATAAAATTTATATATTACAATAAAATTTTCACTATTAAAAATCATTGATACCAAATTATTCAATTCCCCTTTAAATTATAACATGTTTCATTTCTTATTTCTTTCATGTCGGAAATGAGTCATGCCACCTTTTTTGACGACTGTTTCTAGCGTATTCTAGAACAACTTCGGTTCACCTCCGCTAATGTGCTCGTTTGGCGCCAATTTAATGAGGACGTTTTTGGCTTAGTTTACATTTATGCCCTTAGTCGAACGGCCTTTTTTGGAAGGAAAAAAAATTGTTTTTACTTCAAAATTCGGTAAGGTTTATTAAATATTTTACTATCTTAAAATTTGTAATAAAATTTTGTTTTCCATTTAAATAAAATAAAATAATTTGATTTTTTATTAATTTTCTTTCTGCGTTCTATCTCATTCTATTTTTAAATCAATACATTAAGAAAGGTTGTAAAATCTCAATTTTCGTTAAGAAAGTACCCTGCAATATACAATAAAATGAATATATATTTTGTAAAAATGAAAAGATTTTTTGGATGTGTAAAATAAAATTTATAAATAAAAAGAATTCATCCTACCAAATAACTGTAACGATAGTTACATTTAAAATAATAATTTTCATTATTATGATTAATAAATAATTAATTTAATTGATTAAATTTATATTTTTTAATAAAAAATTTTAAATTTAAATTTTATTAATAATTATTTATTAAAATTATTTTAAATATATAATTTATAATTATTTATTTTAAATTATCAAATATGATATATTTTATTTTGATTTAAGGACTTTATTACTTTCAATCAAAAATGAATTTAGATTTTAGATAAATTTGCAAGTACCATTCTCTGGGGGAGAATATCGTCAATCGGCAATTCAACGAGTCAACCACCGTCACGTGAAGTTGGATGACAAAAACCAGAATCAGAACAGAGCCCGAAGAAACATTAAAAAAAATAACCGAGGAACACGTGGCACCCCCGACAGAAATCTTATCCCGTCCCGACAAAAACCAAACGGGAGCTCGGCGTACGAGAAAAATCCCCCTCCCTTCCCTTCTCTCAAGGAAATGCAGTACCGATTTTTATTCGTACGGACGATCTCACCTCGTCTACTCCTTTTTATTTGTCTTGGAATAGTTTGAGCGTACGCGTGGCCTCCTGTGTCCTTTTAATTTGGAGCAAAAACCGCCACGACATATGCGAAAACGAATCGTGGCATCATCTTCATGTCCGCCGGCTCTACCTTTACACCTCGAGATTCTCGTGATTTTGACGCTTCATTTTTTTTTTTGCTTTTCATTTCTTTTTTTTTTTTTTAATTCTTTTCTATTACTAGTAGTTTTAAATTTTATTATTGGGCCATCTGGATTAATGATGATAAATAATAATAGGAAGTTGGTCGTTGTACTACTAATAGTATAATACCCTTTTTCCGTTTTAATTCAAGCAATGGTGAATGAATTGGCTGTGGAATGATAGAGTTCGAATCCATCATCTTCAACAAGTAATTTTTTTTAAAACATTTCAATAAGTAATATTATTAATTAAAAATAACTTAAATACCATTATTTTAGGACAATTCCTACATGTTTCCATATTTTACATTTGAAAAGTGTTAATCAATGTCCGAATGGTAATGATTAAGGTAATATTTAATGAGTTATTTTTTAATTTAATGAAAATAATGCATTAAATATGAAATATTTTAATTATTTTTAAACAGTATTTTTACTCCTATCTCACGTGATTCAAAAGGGATTATTACTTTTATAAACCCTTAAAGAAGTGCATGAATCTATAAAATGGAGGAGCAGCTTCCAAAAGTATGGATGGAAACAACGAACTTGATTACTCTATTTCCAAGTGAATAAATATACTATATGTAATTAACCCTAACAGGAGACAGACATTATTGCATGTTTAATGTTACATAACAAAATGCATGCATCCATTTGTGTTTTGGTTCTCAAACTATATGAAAGAGATTGGATTTTCTCGTGATCTTTTTAATGGCGTATGGACACGGTCATTTGCATAAACAAATATCTTCTTCTTTTTCTTTTTTTTTTTTAACAACGAAATTGTGGCTTGGTTTTCTCCACTCATATGCAATCAAATCACATCGGATCAAGATGAAGAATTGTATAAAAGCATTAAATCTTCTGCTTGCCATAGCCTATACATATATGCATGTATGTTTGACATTCATCAGTTTGGATCCATGAAACTTTTTCAAGCTCTTTCTCTCTAATTCGTACATGTATAGGTTTACTTTTTTAAATCTTTCTTTCATTGTCAAATTTAACCAACTTATGACACTTTACCTAATTCGCACTAAAGAAAACACTCTAATTGTAAGCTTTTAATTTTATTGACTTAACCTACATAACTTTCAATCAACTTGCATTTCTTTTAGTTACTTGATGCATTTCCCTTTCACCATTCCTCTTCCGCCTTGTAGAAATAAACGTTTAATTTACTCCCTCTTCTTTCTACTTAAAAAAAAAAAAATTAGGCCATGCTGAAAGCAAGATCAAATAAAATTTTCCATGCACTTATATAGTGTAACTAATAATTGAAAATTTTCATTAAATATGGCTCATATAGTTATATTTCCAAATATAGTGATCTTTAATTACTACCTTCATCCTTTTTTTTAATCTTTTTTTAAGATATCCTAAAATTATAGATACATTTTAAACATATAATTTTTATATTTTAAAATTATTTTTATAAATTTTTATTTTTCGACATTAAAATTTAAGAAGCTGTAATTTTAAAAAATTTTAAAATTAAATATATAAAAATTTAACAATATCCAAAT